GGGGGGGGGGGGGGGTTCAAGAGAATGGTGTGCACTTTGATTTGGGTCTGGTTTGACTCGCTGACCTCCTACCGCTACCCCACGCAGTCTTCTCGTGCGCAGGAGGAAGAGTTTGCCGGGATGGGCGGATCCACCAAAAACACAGGCGAGGGCAGCCTCGGCAGCAGCAATAGAGACGGTGTACGATCGGCGGCGCAGCAGCTCGCCGTGGCAGATTCCTCCGTAGAGTTTGGGGGCGCTGCGAATTTAGGCGCCGTTACCGGCGCTGGTGCTGTTGGTGGTGGTGGCGACGTGCCGCAAGTGTTGGTCCAGTTTTGCGTGTCATGAGGCATGCGGAGGAACTTCGAAGAGCTTCGATCGTTCCTCCACGCACACTACCCCGCTCTCGCCAAGGCGCAGAGCATCCGGGGGGAGCTTTACCCCCCTCCACCCATGGCCCAAGCCCTGGCCACGCTCGGTTCCTACGCGCAGATGGGCGGCGTGGCTTCGGTCCTGTTCGGTTCCCTCATCTTCGACAGGCTCGGGGTCCCGGCGCCGTTCTTCGTACCGGTGATGCGGCGCAACCCGATGGCCACGATAGTGGGGCTTACCGTAGCGAACTCATTCTGCGGCTCCCTTTTGGCGACCGGCGCCTTCGAGGTGTCCATCGACGGGGAACTGGTGTTCTCGCGGCTGGCAGGAGAGGGACAGTTTCCTACCGGCGCGCTGCTTTTGAGGGAGTTCGAGAAGCGCGGTTTGCGTAGCGTCAGATCCACCTAAGGCGGCTGCCGCTTTTTGCGGCGTCGGGTACACGTACGTCCGTACCAACAGCAGAGATACCTTGGTGGGATTTTCCTCTTCCGTGTCGGTTTGTGCCGTGTAGTAGAGACTGAAAAACAAGCCAGCTTGTGCCTTACCACGGGGACGCGGGGATACTTGGAGGAGAACCGTGGCAACTCTGATGGAGAGGAGAGGTAGGATGAAACGGGAGTGGTCCGAGATCGAGCAGCGTTCCCTTCTGTCTCTCACGCGTAATGACGGGCGGCACTTAAAAGGCGCTTTACACGTCCTGTGCTGACCTGAAATGCCGAGAGGTGGACGGAGCTATTTGCTCGATATCTCGTCACTTTCTCCCGGAGTAGCTCCTAGCCTCGCTGGTAGGTGTTAATTAACCCCTGTGTGACAAGGTTCTTTCTGGATTATCTGTGGTTGCCGAATCATTTCTGAAGGTGGCCGCTGTTCAAAGTTCAAATCTTTCTCGGGAAAGGCGGGCGTGGTCAATGGACTCTCGACTGCACTTGTCCGTGCTTTCTTTTTGTTTTGGTCTGATGAGGAGCAAAGACCGTCCAGTGGTGGTATAGAAGTGTTCTAGCAGTACCACATGTGATATTATGCTAAACACAGCTTTGCGAAACATGCGCATTTGAATGTGTTTATTCACATCTGGGACCTTGGGGAACCCGCATGACTGCGGTGAATTTGAGTGGTCGAGCGATCCTCAGCGTTGGTTCTTGAGACGGCACAAGCCAGCAACGTGTTGAGTGACTGCATCAACTCACTCGCACCGAATCAAGATATCTGCAAAAAAAAACTTTCACGATGCGTTTGTACGAAGAACAACCAAGGAAGAACGAAAAACGGTTGAACATCTGGACGTGTACCGTTCAGCGGCTTTGTGGCTCGCAGAGTGCACAAAGCGACGACAAAAAACTGTTCCACTTCTTTCAATTTCTACCGTGTACATGCATACGCGACCCAATCACAGAATCCACACAAGTGACAAAAAAGCGACGCATGGTTCGGCGCACGAGCAGCCTTTCGTTCTGTAATTTATGTACACGACCACAAATGGCGCCACTTTCAGCAACGCAACCCTCATCCTCATCATGTTCGCCAAGTGCTCCCACGATTGCCAACCAAGCCCCACGCCTGCCCCGCACGGCAGGTACTCTAGGCAGAGCGCAAGCGCCGCACGCACACACAACCTTCCCCATCGGATCAGCACCAGGCAGGTAGGCGCGCCGATGTGCACACCTGCAGTAACGTGTCACATAAACACCCAACACATTATGGTGACACAGTATATACCGATCGGCTTCCGCAAGCCCTGAAACTGCCGTTCGTACAAGGCAAACACCAGTCCCTCGCCTAGCAGGACTCGTGAAGCGAATTCTATTTGCTCGGATGAGCCGAAGCTAGAGCAAACGCGCCGCGCGGTGTCCGCGCACCTGCTTGTACACAACAAAGTAAGCGAGACACTTTACACGCGACAAATAGATGCTACGTCAAAACAAGGACGACGCCATTTGCTCTGACGAGCCGAAGCTAGAGCGAACGCGCCGCGCGGGGTCCGCGCACCTGCTTGTACACGACAACAAAGTAAGCGAGACACATAAACGCGACAAATAGATGCTACGACAAAACAAGGACGACGCCAAAACGTTTTTGTTCCGCGGCAGCAGCCTGTAGCCAACGGCAATCAAAAACAATCAGAAAATGACACAATTAAGTTAAAAAAACGAACGATGCACGAGTCACTGATATCTACTTCCGAAGAAATAAAAGCATATACCGAGTGGCAGACAAGAGTGGCTGCCAAGCCACGAACATGCATGCACACTCACGAGCGAGGGTCACAAAAAAAAAAAACACGTGGACGATGATTGAGTCTCTTACGCTACGAGATGAAACTTGTGGTCTTGGTTGCCAGCAATTCCGCCGCCACTTCAAGGTCCATCGAAGTCACGATTCTATTGCGTTGGTCTTCGTCGTCTGGATGTGAGACACCCAACCGGGCCATGTTCGACTCCACCTGCACCGGAGAAAACATCGAAAAGCGAGCACCCCAGGGTATGAGACGAGCATCGGCAGGCCCTGTCCAGGGTAGGAGCAGAGCGAGCCAACCACGCAGCTACATGTGGTTTGTGTGTGATGTTTTCAGCTGCTGAGGGAGAGGTCTAAAAAGAGGGCGGTACAAGTCTACCATGGGATGCCGTCTCGAAGTATGGTGTTAACGTCTCAGATCCCATGTGTTGGGAATCAACTCTCGATGTTGCATTCAAGTTGCTCTGGATTTTGCAATCGCCGCCTTGACAGATCCCTCATCGACACCCTGCGGTGACTTCACTACACCAAAGATACCATGCGCATCCATAAGAGGACCGCACGGCCCACCATCAGCGTCTCATGTCATCATGACAGAAAGCACCGAAGGCAGCTAACATGTTGTGCTGCTGCTGCTGCGGTAAATCAAGCCTCTCACCTGCTCGAGAGACACCGGGGCGTCCGCAACAAAGCTCTGTTGCACCTGCTGCTTGGCCATGAGCTCCCTCCGGTCCTCCCCGAGCTTGACGCCGTCGTCCAGGGTAACGGGAGCGTCGGCCTTGAAGCTCTGTTGCCGGCCGTCCTCGTCCTCGAGCCCTACCCCGTTCCCTTCGCCGGCAGCCTCGTCCAACGACGGCACCGGCGCGTCGGCGCTAAAGCTCTGCTGCTGCTCCCGCTGCTCCCTCATTATCTGCGCCCGGCTCGCGACAAGCTTGTTAAGCAGGGCTTCGTCCCTCTCTCTCGGCTCGCCCTCCCCGGCCGCGGCGGCGTGGCCGCCCTGCTGAGGCAGGCCCAGGTCCCCCTTGATCATGACCGACAAGCCGTCCGTGCCTGGCTGAACAGCGGCCGGCGGGTTGTTGTTCAGGAAACAACTGCCCATGAACGGCATGTCGAGCTGGAGCATCGACTGCTTCGGGACGAACGGGGCCGGGATCGACAGCGAGCGGCCGTGGGCCGCCGGCACCCTGGTGAGCGCGCCCGCCCGCGAGGGGGGAGGGGACGATGCCTCCACCGGTGGTTCCCCGGAGGATACCATCGCCGCCGACAAGAGGCATGTCGCGACCCCGCCGCCCCCGCCGCCGCCGGCGGCAGAGACACCTTGCCTGGTCGCCGAGGTGGGTAAACCGCGCCGTCGTGGGGCCGGCGAAGGCTCCAGGGCGAGCATGTTGATCGCCGATCGTCCACGGTGGGAGTAGTCTTGCGCGGTCACGTTGAGGGAGGAAGTCTGGGCCCTGAGGGAACATCGAGATCAAAAACGGAAAAGTTTACAACAGTAGCGTGTATGCCACAACAGGTAAAGACGACACGGTGAGCCTGAACGGCAACGGACGGCAAGCAGACAACCGTTGAGTCCAAACCAACCACCCTCTCCACGGATGACGGGTGTAGCCCGGGGGTCACAAGCGGGACATGCAACAACACAGCAGTCCAAAGTACTTCACAGCAGTTGGATGCGTTCCCCAGAACGTGCATCGATACAAGGTGAAGAACTCGGCTGCTGGTTCGTCTTTGCGCCACAGCGAACAGACACCGCTCGAAGCTACACTGGCTCTCACCTGCTGCTCCTCACGAGGATGTCGCCAGTCGTGGCTGCCGAAGCCGCCGCCACCGCCGCCGCCGCCGCCGCCGCCGCCGACGACGGTGCGGTCGTCGCGCCCTTCCGCTTTGTCAACCCTTGCTTGCCATTGAAGACGCTCATTAGCTCCTGCTCGACCAGGCTCTCGTCCGTCGAGAACCCCAGGTGGTTGGCGAGCGGCGCCATCGCCGACTGCAGCCGCTCCACCGCGATCGTTCGGTCCGCCCCGTCCAGCAGCACGCGCACACACCCCACGAGCGACCAGACGATCGGCAGGTGCAGCACGAGCGGGTTGTCGGCGACCAGGTCCGCCAGGGGCTCCGTGATCACGATGGCCTGCCGGCGGTTATTCGTCAGCAGCAGGAAATACGCCTGGAGGACTACCACGATGCACCGGGAGATGTCGTTAGGCCCGCCCCCTGCGGACCCCTTGTCCAGCAGGGCCTTAGCCTCGTAGATGTGATCCGTCATCGCCTTCGGATCCCAGTCCCCGGTCGACATCGCGGGGTTCCCCGCCAGGTTGGACCTCGACGATCGGTTGTGGATCGCAAGCAACACGTAGCTCAGGATGTTGAGCACACGCTCCTGGCAGGCGGCAGGGTTGCTGGACGAGGGGATGCCCGCACGGTTCGACGACCCCGGCGGTTTCACCAGGCACCCTATGCTGCTCACCACCTGTTTTGGAAAAGCCAGGATGAGAGAGAGAGAGAGAGCACACACATGAGTATTTGTAATACTACGAGGCGATTGGCGGCTTTCGCCGCCGCAACCCCAATAGATCGATTCCAAGCTACGCGATAAGCAGGTACCACTGACGGAAGTACACTCAACATCCGTGGGAGATTTACAGAACAACACATCTATAATTTTCTTTAAAAAATTGACAATGCCCCGGGCACCGAATTACCCGAGAAAGCCGTGTGCTCAAAGACACATTCCGGAACAGACATTTCTGTGAGCGGGGAAGAGGTGGTAGAACCACGGGTCCGTGGGTGCCGTATTTGAGAGGAACGGGGTTCACCACGGGACTTGTGCTCTGCGTCTGCTCGTCATGAAACAAATGGTTGGTAAACTGCCCGTCAAGTGTGGAACTTGGATTGCGGAGAGCGGAGTAACAACAATTGCCCGACAACTTTGTCGATCTATTCTCGGTGCCTGAGCAGCTGAACGCCAATGGGATTATTTCACCCGACCACCCTTCGTACCAGCCATCTATCTTAATGATCAGGCTGATGCTTCCAGGCACTCCTTCCCGCCAAGATCGAACAAACACCCGCCACAAACGCAGCAAATCGTTCGTCCCCTGCCGCCCATATGTTGCTCACCTTGGCGTCGTAGAGAATAACGCTGACGAATGTCAAGGAGGCTACCAGCGCGCCGGGGGAGTCGCTAATGATGTTATTGCTCTGGTGCGCGAGGCCGATGTAGCGGTTGATCTTGGAAGAATCCATCTGGTGCGTCCAGTACAGCGCCAGGATTAGGTGCGCGGCCACCAGCTCCGGTGCTGCAGCGTCGAAGCTGCATCGAACGGAGCGGCCACCGGCAGAGAAACGGTTAAGACCAAATATTTGAAGCGTCAGAAACGCGGGGCGGGATCCAACTACGAGCCGGCTCTCCCGCTCTCACCAACGACCCAAGAGGGCAAATCGATTCCTACCATCCCAACACTACACAGCAGCCAGACAAAGGTCGACGAGCGCGCATGCCAACGGAGCATCTCGCCTATTTCTCCACACTCAGAACATATCGTGTCACCCAGCGCCGCCGGGCCAACGCCAGGCCCGCTCCGTCTCCGAACAGCACTCACCACTCCTTGATCTGATCCCGGGCAGCCACGGCATGCGTCACGGACACCTCCTCCTTCTCGAGGAACTCCGCCCCTAGGGCGATGGCCCCGTGGAGCATGGCCTTCCCGGCGTGATGGAACTGGCTGCGCTCCTCGGTCTCGGTGTCACGCTGATTCTCCTCCTCGCTGCCCTCCCCGCTGCCGGCCGCAGGGGCAGTCGCCTTCGCGGCCCTCATCACCGTGTCTATCGTCGTGAGCGGCAAGAAGGAGTTGATGTTCTGCATGAACACGTCCACGCACTCGACCTCGTCCTTGTTGAGGGTAGTGGGCTCCCCGCGGAGGTGCTCGTTCAGGCCCACCAACTTGCTGCCGTTCACGCCATCCGGGTAGGGAGCCAACAAGCCGCCGTTATTGTCCACGGGGACGCCCTTGCGCCGCTTCGGGCCGCAGCGCTTCTTGAACGTATACTCGCACTGGATGTTCTTGTTGCTGCAGCGCACGCATGGCTTCTCGCCGTTGCACCTGAGAGACCAAGGGCGGAACGAATGATTCGTCCGTCGGCGTAATAGGCATGCATCCCTGTTAATTCATCCTTCAGTGCATGAGAGGGGGATTTGCAAGACCGAGGCAACAATGGAGCTTGCCACTCTCGCCTAAAAATGCTTCATGTTCACTTATGTCTCCATGCTGGAATACCTCCATCTGCGCACTTCCAATGTGCCCAACTGCCGGTCGTGAGGGTTGGGATTGGGATACGACTAGGTTGGGAAACACGTCGGCAGTCTGTATGCATATCATACCAACAACAATTTTCGGCCAAGTGGTTAGCACTTCCCGACTTCGAGAGCAGACCGCGTTGTTGCACGATGAAAAAGATCTCGGAAATCTTTCACAATCTTTCGGAATACCAAATAATAATAGAACAGACAATCGAGCGTGTGCGTGGATTCCTCTGTGTGGTCGGGATTAGTGCGGTTAATGACCCAACCGCGTAGTTCACACACTTGTTGCAGCCTTTGGATTATATCCACACATTTCACCTGAGCGCATTCTGGCTGGATCAATGGAAGCGTTGTGAACGAGAGGCGTGAGTGTAAGACCCTATTACGGAGGAAGATGGAGCAATGTGGCACGGCTTCGGTATAGTATTTCGTTCTCTTCGTCAAGCTGCCGGCGCTTTCCTTTTACGTGATGCGCTAAGTGACACTTGACACACACACCATTGGTTTGCTCTGTAGCCGTCCTACTAGTTGTATGGTGCCACCTGTCACTGCTGCTGTGGAGGACCAGGGGCACTGAGACCCCTGCTGCGCCAAGGGTGGCGTGAAGCACAGCAGGAGCGAGAGGCAGCCTTGGCAAATTGCCGCACACGCCCAAGAATGTGCAAGATTGCAGGAGAGACCCCGCCAGAGGCAACACTGGAATTGATGCTGCACAGCAGTTACAGAGATTTGCTGCGACTCCACGGGCGCTAAGCCGGCGAAACCATCAACACGAGGCACAGCAAGGGCGTGTTGGCCGTAAGGCGGCAATGGTACCAGTGGTGTAGCAGAATGGGCGCATGCACACGTCGTGTCTCTCACATAGAGTTGGCACAGAGTAGGCCTGAGTGGAGCCCTCGGGTCATTGCACTCGCCACGCCTACACGCAATTTTTCCAGTACAAAGATTGATCGAGTGCGACATTGACCCGCGCGGTTCATGTCCAAAATACAAAACTGCTGTTGTGAGGGCGTGCGTACCTCGCACGAGCAATAGCTCACCAAACTATTTGTAGCATGAGAGAATTGAACGGCGCTGCCATGATGGCAAAAAACGCTGTTGGAATGGTTGACAGTTGGAGACCGCAACGAAAGTATCGTCCTGGACTCGAGACACAAGTTGTGCGATACACTCCATTCCGTCTACCGCTGAAAAACGCGTAAGCATACATCAATATTTGGTAAGCCAGTAACAAGCCCACACAATAGCTGTCGAAGAGTAACTTACATGACCTCGCGGACACAAGGGCAGAACTGCAGCGAACGCCGTAGGCACACACACACACCAGGCTGTCGTGCGGGCCAAAAAACAGCAGCGTTGTGTGTGTGAGCCCCCAGGGTCAGATTTTGCTACCTCGGCTTTCTGGCGACCGACGCACCATCTCTGAGAAAAAAGTGTCTTCGGGCGTGTGCCGAGCAGACTGAATTGGCCAAACGTGGCCGGGCACATCTTACACAGACACGCAGGTTGGCAGCAGCTCGCAAGGCTGGCGAGTGCAGCAACTTCAGCGCTGGCTTGATGATTGCAGGCAAAATGTTGTGATGAGCGGGGCTGCTTTGAAATCACCCTCTTGAAGCCAGCCTCAGCGAACCCTACATCTCAAAACCTCGCAGAAAACGAGTTGAACAGCGATGATACCGACAAGAGATGACAAACGACTCACTTGACCTTAGCCGACGTGCATGCATCACATGTGGTCCGGAGCACAGGCTCCTCTTCTTCCCCTGGCCTGCGCCTCCTTCTTCGTCGCTTGGGCTGCTGCCCTGGTTGCATTGGAGGCATTTGTTGTTGACGCCGGATGACGCCTGCTGTTCAGGTCGAAGGAGACAGAGCACGGCGGCCCCGACAGCTGTAGAGGGGTTGAGGGAGAGGAAGGGATCGGGAGAGTGAGCGGGAGAGAAAGAAAGGGAGAGAGAGGGAGAGAGAGAAGGAGAGAGAGAGAGAGAGAGAGAGAGAAAGAGAGAAAGAGAGAGAGAGAGAGAGAGAGAGAGAGAGAGAGAGAGAGAGAGAGAGAGNAGAGAGAGAAGGAGAGAGAGAGAGAGAGAGAGAGAGAAAGAGAGAAAGAGAGAGAGAGAGAGAGAGAGAGAGAGAGAGAGAGAGAGAGAGTGAACTCGTGCGGGCGGTGAAGAAAAGGACAGCAGCGAGGTGACGAGCGGGTCGGCAATTCAGCCTGGCAACGAAAGAGCAAAAAAAAAAAAGGGGGCTACGCATACTTGATGTAAAGGACGGGGCGGGTACGCCGGCGGTCAAAACAAGAGTGTCAATACAACCTCCGAGCACAACGCGGAACACGAGAAACTGCGCCCTCGGCGCCGCGACAAATGTGAATTGCAGTCTTGCGACGCAAGGTAGAAACCAGATAAACCTTAAATACGTCACGACTTATACCTTAAACCTCTGATCCCCAAGATACAGGGCTGTTCGTGACTACAACAAAATATTCTGTATTCTGTATCCTGTATGCAGTATCTGGACACTCCTGAGGACTAAAAAATCTCGGGTGATTGCGTCCTGAGAAGAGACTTGCGGGTGGTGAAAGAGTATTCTGCGCAAAGCTAGCCACCCGGTGAGAAGCGAACAAGCGAAGATGGTTTCATCTCGAGCGTGCACTAAATCAAGGGCTGCGTCAATCGAGACGTTTAGACGTTTAGACGTGCAACGGTAGGATTGGAGAGCAGCAGCACAAGATATCACAGGTGGCCAATGGGCACGGTTACGGGGGGGTTAACGTGACATGTAACCCCTATGCGTTGTGCAACCTGCGTAACCCGGTCGGGCGCACCTTTACCAACCTCCAAGGTTAGGCAGGGTTCCGAAACGCCGGTCCAAACCCAGTAAAGGGAAAATTGTATCCGTGCTTGGTTGCAGGCGAGGTTGTCCAAGCCCGAGAATGTCCATGCCTTGCCGCGAAAACTACGTACCAGCCGGTGTCCACAGAGTAGTACAAGACACACCGATTTATCGGATCCGACATTCGCGGCATATATATATAAGAAAAACTGAAAAAAACAATAGAGTGCCGGCATTTTCTGTAAGACCGATTTTTTCATTTCAGGGAGGTGTTTCTTTTTGGGCAACAAACTACACGCACGCAAGAAACCACGACGCACTGCCGTGCTGCACACACTGCTGCTGCTACTGGCAAGACACGCACTACACAGAGACAGGGAACATGGACAAGGGGGGCGGGACACACACAAATACTGATGTTAGCGACGGCGGAGGAAGCGGGGAACGTTTGGTTGGTCTGGGGTTCATCGCTGATGATGTTGTTGTTGCTGTTGTTTCCGTTGGTTTGTTGTTGTTCAACGAACGCTGCCGGCCTTTTTTTCGCCTTTTTTTCTCTGGAGAGGGAGTCCCACCAGCCAGCGTGTGTTGCACTCACCACACAGCGAGAGCGGGACGGGAGCAGGGTGTGCCCTATACTACTGCTGCTGCTAGCTTTCGGCGGAGGAAGCGAGAGGAGAGATATTGATTGGGTCTCTGTGGGTCCATCGGTTGGTTGTTGTTATTGTGTTGCGACGCGGCGGGAGGGAGCGGCCTCTGACTCTGCTCTGGAGAGAGGCACACATACATCACAGCACGGAACCAGTAACACATCACGCTCGTTCCTAGACGATGTAGTACTACTGCTGTGCTGTGCACCTCTCTACACTCATTGTGGGCGAGAGGGTGTGTCGCCTCTGCTGCTGCTGCTGTTGCTGTTATCTAAAGCGGTGGCGGAAGCGTCCTGTTCAAACAATCAGCAGCAGCAGCAGCAGCTGGGGAATTTTTCAACGTTTTTTTTTGTTTCCTCTCTAGCTGATGACGATGAATAGCACCCTTCCCCTCACGGCTGACGGTGGATATCACCCCCCTCGCTAGCTGATGATGGACACCACCCCCCCTCTAGCGAATGATGATGGATACCACCCCCCTCTCTAGCTGGTGATGATGGACCGCCCCCCGTTCTTCTGTAACAGACGCACGAGCCTACTGCAGGTACTTTTGTGCAACCACCACAAAAAACTATTCCACCTCCAACTCTAGTAGCGTGGGGGGGACCGCATAGTACAAGTGTGCTCTTATCGGCCGGGTGGGGTGGTTTTGCCACCATTGTTTCCGCCCCTACAATAAAAGCATAGAATTTGTTTCCATGGTCATAGGCTTCAACATGTAGCGTAGCGTTCAACCGTATGGGTACCCAATCCCAAGTTGCTGGTTCGGTCCACTCCATGCTACCGATCAATTCGACGTAGAATAACAATGCCAACCGAAGAATTGCGTAACTATAACACAAATATGACATACGGGTTGAATACAATGAATGTAGCAATGGAGGGGAAGGCCCACACACAGATAGTTGTTTCTTTTCTCCTTCATTCACACCAATCCGCGCACGACCGCTTTCATAACCTGGTACGTTATGCTCGCTCGGCCTGTAACCCCCCCACGTTATCCCATGTAATAACCCCTGGTTGGCCGGAGGTTACACAACGCCACTGCTGTACAACCGTGTCCACTGGCCACCTGTGGAATTTAAGAATTGGAGGAGACAACACCAAGAGTCTAAACCGCCAAATATATCAGAGCTCATGGTACAACGAGGCACATACGTACATGACACCATCGCCGAGTATTTCAGCTATCGCAGCACGATTTCTGTTTCTTCACACCCGCACACAAACATACAGCAGAGACGGGAACGTGCGTGCTCTGTGGCCTGTCTGCCGGCGAACGGAACGTCGCTGAGAAGTTTAATAATTTATCAAGTTGTCTCAAAGACGGATCATGCTGTATCCAAACAGAGAGATCCACCTGGTTGTACCACCACAATACCAACGTCATTCGCAGCATCCCGGGCGCGTCATCAAAAAAGACCAAGACACTTGCCGCAATCACCATCGCGAAGGGGACTCTGCCCAACAAACAATAACATGCACACAGGAAGTACCGTCTCTGTTTCCTCCCTACGGCGCACACAATCACACATCTACGCGTATTTCTAGTCTCTCTCGCCGAAAACGCTCATACCGCCCGTGACACCATCTACTCACGGCTCTCACAGATGAGAAGTACTTACAAACCAGAGTTCACCTTCGACCTCTTCCTAACCTCTCCCCATTGCGTTCGTCGTGACAACGAAAAAACATACAGGAAACAGGGCCACCGTTCACGTGTCACGCACTGCTCAAGCGCGGCTTATCTAACAACAATCCATGGGCACTCTACAAAAAGAACCGGTCTTCAAAGCTACAACCGCGCAACACACAAACAACACACCTCGCTTTAACTATCTAATATCTTGAATCCATACAATACAAGAAACACCACACGGGTTCTACTTCGGTTGCCAAGGGAAGTGGTGCAATTTCAACGGTTCCCAGTTATAGACAAACTCGGCATCGCCCATGCCCTGATTGGCGGGCCTGTTCCGGCTCGCCTGCCCGTCACCCCCGTGGGCGGGCCAATCATCTTCGCCGAGCTTCAGGGCCTGCTCGGCCACGAAGTCGGAGTCTCCCTGAAGCTTGGCGCAGCGGAGTACCCGCGCGGAGTCGTACTCTCTCAGAGCGTCTGCTATCTGTCATGCGTGCGCGAAAGGCGACCGGGATCCCGCCGGGTTTAAGAGGCAGCACTGGGGAGCAAGCACGGCGAGCGAGGAGAAACCTGGCCCGTGCCTGGCGCATCCAAAATCTGGCAGGGAGCAGCGGACAGGCATATCCCTTAAACGCCTCGACAACCCAGCAAACCAAAGGAGGTACAATCCCGTCTCTGAGTACTAGCACTGTAGCAACACAACGAGCGATGTAGTTGCCGTGCGCATGAAATGCCGAAGCACGTTTATGGACTGTTCGCAAAACGACGCACCGACGACGTCTCCCGCAGCACCAAGGCCAGCTGCACCGCATCCTCGAGCGCCATGTTGGCTCCCTGACCCAGAGACGGCCGCGTCGGGTGTGCTGCGTCGCCGACAAGGGCGGAATAAAACTCATCTGGACCGGCGCCGGACACGAACGACTTCGTCGCTGGACGATCCTAGGGTAGTCGAGCGGACAAATTCAACAGAGACAGGAAGGTCACATTCCTGAGGTGGCGCGCTTGTACGCCGGGTTGGACGGCTCGTTACAGAATATACGCCATGCCATCAAAGTGTAGTGAAACCGGATGTGTCTGGCAAAAGGTCGGGTCTCTTTCGGGGTGACAGCGCACGACGAGAACATGGGTTTGTGGGCGCAGCACCCAAGAAGTCCCACCCATCGAAATGGCTTGCTGCGTCGAGACTAGCCCCGTCGCGGCAGAAGAGACGCAAGATTCTTAACTACCCTATAGTCGCTTGGCCTCAACGCACTGCTTCGCTCACCTCGATACGTCTCCGATGGACCTGGTGTGGGGGTGTTGCTTCGATGAGTTTCACCAGCGCGTTGCACTCTCCAAATTGAGCCTTCAGGAAGTGTTTCATCTCTTTATCATCACCCCTCAACGCCATAGCCTCCTACGATTGCCAACATATTACAGCAGGTACGGAGGCAGACAAAACAAACGAAGCATCGAGGTTCACACCAAGGGCAACAAATGGAAATACCGTCCTGCTCTGCACGGCGCGGTTTATCGTGGATTACCGTCTCTGATGACCAACCCAACCCTTTGGGCGATCTGAACGTTTTTGCTGAAATACGACACCGGCTCACGGGCGTTGTCTACTACTGTACGCATACAGCCGTCTCGTCGCGGTGAGCATCAAGAGTCCGTTACACACAATAAAATAACACACACACACACCTTGATGTTGTCACCCGTGAGCGCCACCGCCCAGTAGGTGTTGTGGTCGCCACACGGCATCAAGCTTGCCGCCTTGGTCGGGTCGCTGAGAAAAAATGTGTGCACTCGGCTCCGCAGCAGTATTGGGCACGCCGCGTGCCCCACGATCCCGAAAAACCATACGCAGTGCGTGTCGCGCGGCTTCGAGTCGTCTGCGCCAATAATATGGAGAAGGTGTGTGGCGGGGAGGGGGGTCACACAAAGGAAGAGATTGGTTGCAGCTCGAAGATGATGGTTGTCGCGAGTGATACGGGCATGGTATTGCATTATAGCTTGCTTCGCTTGCTTCCAGTGGCCACCACGTTGCATGTCGACGAAAAGGGGAAGCCGCATGGGCCTTTTTGTCTCTCCTGACTGGTACACACCGCTTCGAGCGTCAAGATCGTCAAGATTGTCAAGATAACAAGACCAAGCGCATTCCTCATGGCGAATTTCCACCCACCTGGGGAACACTTGCTTGGAAACGCACTGAGATGCCAGTTTGCGGCTTTATGTGATGCATGACGACGAATGTCACGAAAGGAACGAAAAGACAGCCAACGACACGCCACACGTCACACGGCCAGCATCACACATTCTACAGCAGTACCACACGCAATCTCTCGGCAAGACGGTCAACCCCCAACGGTGCACGCACTCGCTCCTTACTCACCCCCAAGGCGCGCTCGAACGACGCTGTTCAAACCATCAGCACCGATGACAAAGTCGGCCAATACCACCTCCTCCTCCTCCTCCTCCTCCTCCTCCAGTCCCTGCCCAACGGCCATCAGCAACGCCGCCCGCTTCTTCCCATCCTCCCCCAGGGATGGATAGACCTTCTTGCAGGACATACCGGACAGGATTTCGCAGCCCAGGCGCAGGGCAGTCCGGCGTAGCGCGTTGTGAAGGCTGAGGAGACGGAGGCAGAGCATAGGGTGCCCGAACGCCTCCCTCTCCCTGCAATAGTCGATGCTCGTGGACTCGGCCGTTGTGAACATCCGCTCCCCGATCACGCTGCACGAGGATCATCAGTCGCGGACGGATACCGCAGACGGCAGTCGGGTGGGGATGGCGGGAGGAAGAAAGAAGCAAAGAGAGATCGGGTAAACGAGTTGGCCTTGCGCACGCGGCACTCTCGTAGGCACACGCCCACACCTCGGACCTGCAACGACGGCTGCTCTAATGCTGCTGTCGCATTTGTATGAACCCCTCTTGTGTCTGTGCTGTGGAGGTGCCAAGTCGTTCATTTACCGAGTGAATTGCCCGACTGGTTGCTGTCATGACCACCAGAGGCCTTGGATGGGGGAGCCGTCCTCCCGGCTCGATGGAACATGTGAATTAGGGTCTGGCAAGCTTGTTTCTTACGCAAAACTACACGGAAGGATTCCTCGAGCACCGGAGAGCAAGCTAAGTATGACAAATGGCTGCAGTCAAAACATTTTGCAAGCATTTGCGTATGCACGAGCGACAGACGCACACGTACATAGACCCCCCAAAAGTAAGAAGCCCTCACCTTCCAGATCTCACCACCTCGTCATGCAACGATGTGTCCATATGTCGCAGCGCGCGTAGGCCATTGGGCCAAAGAGCCAGTCCGAAACCTCCGTACTCGCCAAAACCCTCGCCCCTCTCGAAAACCCGAACTTTCCGCACGCCTCCTATGGCGCGAAGAGACACCGCGCTCGCTAACCCAGCGATTCCACCTCCAACAATGGCGACATCCAGCTGCTGGCGGTAGGACAAGCAAGAAGGATTGGACTAGATGAAACCTACATGGAATGTACTTGTTCTTGGGATGCCTTGGCAGGCAAATGGGCCGCGGCTGCTGCTGCTGATGTGGCCCCCTTTCAATGTTCAACCTCAAGACTACTCCCAGAGAGTACGTACACAGCTTTCAGCAGTAGCAGTAGTGACCTTCAGTGTGTCCTTTCAACGTTATGATTGAAGTCTGTAACATAAGACATAGGCCAAGTTCCTCTTCTAAAGTGAGACGCTCTCGATCATGTGCACACGGAATCACGCGAGTAAGCCAGTATATATCAGGGGTTTGGACATGCACAGACGGCACACGAGATCAACCCGCACTTGCGGCAAACGTGCGAGTCTTGACGTACCCCTTGATTTGGACTCGTTGTCAATGCGCCCCCAAAGGCAGGGATGGCCAAGCACGATATCACTCTGCATCGGCGTAGCATGGTTGGCCTTGAGCAGCACTTCGCTCGTTCAACCATCGCTGACTTGCATACGCGCGCAGCGTGAACTGCATGTAGTTGCGTGTAGTCGACAGGGGACTGCAGACAGATCGAAAAAGCCGAGAAGCGTCACAAGACGGGGCGGGGGGGGTCCTTTTCTCTATCACACACGGTGCTCCCGCTCTGCCGCCCGTGTGTGCTGTGCTCCCTCCTGTGTTGTGCCGCAGCTCTTCGACAGCTGTGGCTTGTGCTCTGTGTTTGACATCATGAATACCATGCCAAGGTCAAGCTTCTTGTTAATCGTGGCGGCCCTTGCTTCATGGGCCAGTCCGTGCGGAGCGTTTGCACCCCCAAGACTTGCAGGGCGACAGCACCAACATGATGCGACCGCATCAGCAGCAGCAGCATCTGCACCTGCACGAACACAGCCCGCGTGTCATGTTCGGGCAAGGGAGGGCTGCCGACGCCGGCACTCTACGGGCTTGTCCATGTCCACCCCGGCAGAGTCGTTTACGCCACCTTCAGTAAAAGAGGAGGGTGTTGGAGCTGGAGCGGAGACGACGATAAAGCCAGGCGCCAAGATCAGCAACGAGTGGGAGCTTGACGTGTACTCCAGGCCGGTCGTTGGGGCGGACGGTAAGAAGCTGTGGGAGCTCCTCATCTGCGACTCCACGGGCAACTTCCGCCACGTCTCGCCGATCCCGAGCAACATGGTGAACTCGCGAGAGGTGCGCAGGACGATAGAGGGGGTCATCGAGGCCGCGCCGGGGGGCTCGAAGCCTACCGTGATCCGCTTCTTCCGAAACGCCATGTTCAACATGATCGACATCGCCCTGAAGGAGGTGGAGGTCGCGGTCAAGCCGTGCAGGACGACGTACGCCATGTACCAGTGGCTCGAGGAGCGCGAGCGCGACGTGTACCCCGCCATGGCCGGGTTCAAGCCCACCATGAAGCAACCGGCGTTCTTCGACATTCGGGTGAGATGCTTTTGTTATTGCATGTTTCGTGTACACACCTGCAAGCGGACCGCTTTGCTCTGTGGACAGCGCTCGATGTCTGTGGGTGTGATGTAGGCCACAGCATAGTTGATGTCCTTCTCGCTCTTGCTCCCCTTGTTGGCAACACGTCGTTGTGTCAAATCGTCCTTGTTGTCTTTCTCTTGCTCTTTCTTGCCCCGCTGGGTGGCGACATGTCGTTGTGTCAAACATGCAAGTTTGCGAACCTGAGTGCGGAACATTCAGATTTGCTCATGCAACTCAACACGTCCACCTCCTGTCGCCCCGGTGGTCTAGTGGTATATCCGTAATCCGCTAGTTGCAGAGGTCGTGAGTTCGAATCCCCATGGGTTGAAACATCTACGAAATTTGCGGGTGAAGGCGAAATACAGCTAAGAAAGCTCTCGTGAGTACCAAACTTTGACGTGAGTACCGTTGACGAGGGAAAGGGACGGCTGGACCCTTGTCGCGACACGAATAAAATGCAGCACGCACAGCAGGAGGAAGGTGGGGCATGAAAAGAAAAAAGAAGGAAAAAGCCCAGGTGTGTGTACCCCCTCCTGTGTGACCCTGGATGGTTATACTGTAGATGTACGAAAGAAAACACTGAAAAGTTTAGTACACTACATACGTTGAAAAAATGTAGTCCACGTCTCACCACGAAAAAAGGGGGGATTGTCACCATAATAAACAGGATGAAAACACACACACACACCTGCCCACCCTGCCAACATCTGATCATCACAAGGGCCCCGTGACGTTGTGTGTACTAATCCCGCGCGGGGTTGCTGGAGAGAAACACGCCTAGGGAGTAGCTTGAGTAGTGTGACTCGAAAAAGAAAAATAGCGCCATCCAAGGCTAACCATCATACGCCTTCGCTCCCCGCGCCCCCCTTTGTCGCATAACCTACCGTTGTGGAAGACTCCCACGCCTCTACCAGATGCTCTGCGAGGAGAGCAGTACGCTTTCGTGACCATGCCAGTGTCCGAGTTCCGTCAGGGCAACATCAATGACGAAAACGTTGGGGTCGGCAGGTGTGCGAAGTGTGACAGTAACGACAAGCGTCGAGATGTGGTGCAAGTCTGCTGGTGTCTTGCTGCGGCGCCAGCTCAACCGTGGACTGCTTGCTGCTACCAATAGTCAGATTCTCGTCTCTCTCAGGAACGGTTAAGGTTCCACGACCTCGAGAGAGGGATTTCCCTCGTCCAGCGGGATTCTTTGTGTGACCATTGTTACTCGATTTGCCCGTTTCTTACCCGTTAGCTCTGTAAATACTAGCACAACAATCGATCGCAGGTGTAGATATGGTACTTGTTCGAACTGATCCCCTCAACTAAAGATATATCTTGCTGAATGTCGTACGATGTTGTTGTTGTTGTTGTCTTCACATTAAACCGTATGTCAGTTGCCAAATGCCAAAATCTAGCAAAAGACTCTCAGCCCGTGGTCACGAAAGTGCTAGAGCCATCTGGGGATCTAAAGAACACGCACACATATAACGAGAAAAAGGTATCCAAGAGCCCGAAGAGGTACACCTTAAAATCCCTGCAGCACCGTATGCGTGCCCAAAAACTGAACTGCACGTCCGTCCCACCGTTCGACTACAGTAGCATCACCCCCTCCCTGTCCCACTCTATACCAAAACGGAAGATTGCCGACTACAGCATAATGCTGTCTGAAGTGCTGTCTGTACAAAAACACCATGGTAGGCATGGAACAAGCAGCTGGCGGGGCACAAAGCTGCTGTCTGAAGTGCTGTCAGAATGTGTCTGCGGCCGTACAGTGAAAAAGAACAACCAACCAAAGCCATCATAGCAGCAATTGACAATCACCCGAATCTCTCCCGATCGTCTGTGTAGGCACTGCAGTGAAAAATATCGACACTAGCTAAGAATCGTTCCACATTGAAGGGGTCTTCCACGATCAGGCACAAAACCAATGCACCCGGGTTAGCCACGCCATCTCTGACGGGTCTCTCTACAAAACCGGTGACGATGTCATCACACAAAACCAACACGGAAAGTCAGAAAAAAAACGAAAAAAATTGACAACACAGATAGAAATGTTTGTCCGTGCGCCACGGGTCGATGTCGCCCGCATGCTCCGGTGCCACTGCTCCATCCGGCGCCGCTGTAGTCAGCCCGAGCAAAACGTCACTCGACCTGCTCCGTCCGTACACGCTCTCGTTGCTGTCCTTCCCAGTCCGTTCCTCGCTTTCTCCCTCATTGCACTCAAGGTTCTTGGTCTGAAAAAAATAAAAATTCTCGCGCCGAATGGTCAACCAGCCTAGTTCAGCTCGTCGCCACCTGCTCCCTCCTCCTTTGATGGCGAAGCCAGGTTACTGAGGCAATACAGCTCCCTCTAGCAAACCTAGGGCCGTGTAGTGCCCGTCCACCTTTCTGATGGTGTCTGCCTCCGCGCACAAAAATGAGATGGGCATCACTGCCTACGCCGACGGCCAGAAAGGCCCGCGCATCTACATTTTCCCGCCTGACCCCATCAGTGCCGACCCAACTCCACCACCACACGCACGCCTCGCGGCGGATGCGCAGCAGCAAGAAGGTTTCGGTCATCCCTTGAGGGTGAGTCTAGCCCTGCTCGCCAGAAAGACCCCCCCCTTCGCTACAACCCATGTCTAAGCAAAAGCTTGTCGGGGAGCGAGGGGAAGAAGGGAGAGTAATATCTAACTACGACTGCCGCTCGCTGTGTCTTTGCCCTCGACTGGGCATTTCCGTTCCGAATAATTTCGGGGGGTTCCAGGCTATGTCCGCTGGATGCATCCCTCCCGGACGATGCGATGATCCCAGGGCTTGCGATGTTCACGGCGAGAGCTGAGCCCCTCGCCACTTGGATGACCGGCCTCGAGGTGGCCTACTTCAAGGTGGGCAAAAAATTGGCCTCACGCAACGTTGGTGCATCATGTTGCAATCCGGGGAAGTTTCCACACACAGCAGCAGTGAGGCTTGTTCGGCAGTTTTTGTGTTTCATCTTCGAGGGTAGACTGCTGTAGCTTGTGTTCTGTTGCTAACAGGGAGGATGCATACTCCAACCGATATCCGCTTCCTCGAATGCGTTGGTTTATCGCGAGATGGACAACACAAGGAGTAGCTCGAGCAGCTGCTGTCAAGATTCTGCCGTGTTCATCACCCACGATGGGTGACTGCTTCTCGGGGCTGTCGGGATTGTTTTTAGATACGTTGCGGCGGCGATATGGAGACTGTCGACCATGCTCCCAAATGCCTTGGAATCAGCGCTACCGTGAGTTGTGCCCATCCTCTCGCAATCGTTCCTCCCCCTCTTCCTGCTGTCTTCGTTTAGTGCCCTCCATGCTGAACTTTGAAGCGTGTGTCGTGTATTAGAATTCGAGCTGCGTTACATTGCAGACTGCTCGTTCGTGACAACCACCGCGATGGCTGTGTGATGGCATGACAGGCGGATCTCAAGAACCGCGAGCTCGCTCTTGAGTGCGGCATCAACACTCAGTATCTTGTCGCGCGAGTCCAGGGGGACCAGCGGAAAGAAGGTGAGCGCGAGAAAACGCTGGCGGCAGTACGTGATGTGTCTGATGCTCACGTGCGAGTTGTAGAACGTCATCCTTGAGTGTCCTCGAGGTGGTGGCGTGCGTGAAGGTATACGTCCTCCACGTATATCCAGCATAATCGTCTGCTGGTTCACGATGGTGCGTTGCTTGTTCACAACAGCGTGAAAAAAAGAGGATGCAAGCGGGTGAGCAAGCGACCCACACATAAATGAGGGGTGAATCAACCAGCATGATCGATGTCATAGTATCTGCATACTCCGTCTACGTACGTGGGAGTAGGCGGTGTGGAAATTACATGTGTGGGCGACTTCGACACAAGGGGCATGCTTCTGATTCCCCCGGCAAACTGCTGGTCCGGATGTGTTTCACTAGCGCAACTGGTGGGCGACCTTGTTTCTCTCAGATGCTGCGCGCCCTTGTATGCATTTACCCCCCGCTTCGCTCCCTCGCCCTACTCCCTTCCAAATCGTTGCTTGGACACTCTCCGTGTTTATTTTCCCAGCGCAAGGCTTCGAGGAGGCGAAACGAGCGTTGGGGGGATTCCACTTCGTGGCAGTTCAAAGCAATCCTGATGCGGATGACGTCGCGGGTTTCTGGTTATTGAAGGAAGTCGCGATGTAGACTTGGTCAAGGTATCTGCCGGGACTTTTGGCAGCTCCTGAAGCGTTGCTGACTGCCTCGTCGCTATAACACCGTTAGATAGGTTGATTCCTTGTACACGTCTGACACCAGAAAACTTGACTCTTGGAAACGGCTGTAACGGCGTTGAACGGCTCCAGTGGGTATTGCATGCGGGTAATTTGTTGGCCAAATGAAATATGGCTTTTGATCCCAACTGGAGGGTGCAGTCCTATCGCTTCGTCAGTGTAGCTCGTCATGGCATTGAGTGTTCACCGTTTGGCTGCTGTCATTGCGCCAAATCGCCAACAAAAACAACTTGGAACCACACATTCCTATGCTCTCCAAGCTGTTTCCGCATCACACACCCGCATCTATTTGCCCACCACGCGGAACGGCGGAGCCATCGTTCACCCAAAACCAAAAAGCCCGTGCAAGACCTCGCAACAGACTGACTCCCTTGCGTGCGCCAGGACGCGACGAATTCCGTGCACTCGGACTGCAGTTCATCTGTGGGGAACGTCGTACGCAACTCGACTCCTACCGCTAGCAGCTTTTCTAGTACACTTCGAGAAATGACACCGTTGCGTGCAACATCAAAGGAAATGACCCAAGCAGTTTTTATCCGTACGAAAATGTCGCTTGAAGACCACAACCCCCGAAGACCCTGGCTCCCGGCCGTGCGCTGTCCGCAACGGCATGAATTATCGCCTCGTACTGTACACGTTTTGAACAGGGGACAGGACTACTTCAACGCCACAACCAACCACCTTCGGTTTTGGTTGTTGCGAGGAGGCTGTGATCATTCTCCCGGAGAGTAATACCAGGGCAACCAAGTCTTGTTGCCCGCTTCGAGCGATGATTCTCCGCTGAAAAGTCTCATACCATTTTTAGACTGGAACCCCCCCGAACGTTTTGAGAGGGTGTGTGTAAACTACAACGGGTGTCTGCCGCCGGTCGTGAGGAAATTCCGCACGCAGCCCGCACGTTGTCGATGATGCCCCGCAAGTAGGCCTGCCCTGCTTCTCGTGTCACAAGGGGCTCCGCAAACTGCAGCGTCATGAAAAGCTCTCCGTCTATCGTACCGCAGCTGAGCTGGAATAAACTCCCGCGGGCTGACTGGCTCGTTCCGTAGTGCACCGCCTTGAGAGAAAGATTACCTACCTGCGCGCCACACGTTTCGGCAGCACCGACACGCAAATAAGTAGTATGGGTGAGGTTTTGGGTTGAGGAATCAATCTTCTACAGAATCGTCCTCCCACGAATATGCTGCGTAACGAACGGTGGGACGTCTAGAGATCACATCGAGGACATGGCCTTTAAGAGCGCGAAGATGGGAAACCCCGCCGGAAAATTCCCACACCAGTATTCGCCACCCAACTCCTGATAATCACAAGAGCGGTCCCTGAGCAATGTTACCGTCAGGCAGAGGAAAGCATTCCTACAACGATAACGGGGCCGCTTCAAACTTAATACTAGCAGTGGATACGAGCAAAACATCCCTCGGGGTTTCCACACTTGAGCGAACACAGCGGCAGGACCCCCAACAAACGCCAACGTATGTAGTCCCGTCCACTTCACACACATCGTAGCACCGACAAGCAGGAAGGGGGATGAAACCGACCGCACTCCTGTACCAAAAGGAGACCGCACCTGGGTATCGAATGGGTACCGCCCCATGTTGCTGACACCGCACGTGTAGGCTCTCCCGAGGGTCTTGGCGTTTCGACTCTGCATGTCGACGGAAGCCCAAATGTGTATGTTCTCCATCGCCCAGTCGAAAACTGCCACCGCCTCCCTGATGAAGCCATCAAAATGAGCCCGAATCAATGATATTTTTCTCATAAAGCTTGCCAGTCCGACGATAATTTCTCCAAGTGGCGGGCGCGGGAGTATATCTGAAACCAACGGATATGGTCTTCTGAAAGAAATGTGGTTTCCACAGATGCACTCAAGAAACAGCGATGAGCAGGTTGATTGCACGATGCGAAAGTAATGACACTAACCTACAACAAGGTGAAAACACGGTCCTCAAAACAAAGGCCGTACACGTCGCTAAGGCGCACGAGGAACTCGTTACGTTGATATTGTTCAACACAATCATCACACAAAGACAATGCCAGACACACTTACGGTCTTCTTCGCCTACCTCAGTGTTTCCTTCTCCACCATGTCCTGCGTGGCGGTCTTGCACCGCTTGGCAAGCCTCCAGAACTCCTCCCGCGCCACCCGCGCCGCCTCCTCCCCGTCCCGTCCCACGAGCATCGACCCGCTCCCGGCGGGAACCGTCACCGCGTAGTCGATGGACCCCCCGGCGCACGCCACGGTGCCTCCCGTCCAGTCTCCCATGTCGGAGTAGTCTCCGGTGCCGAAGCGCCGAAGGTCAACCGCCAGGAGGAACTTGTAACGGTTCGACCCTCGGCTGCCCTCGGCATGGGCGACGTCGCTGCAAGCCATCAGGCAAGCGGCGCTCAGGGCTCCCGACAGGGTTAGCCCTCGTTCTCTGCTCGGGAGGGCGAGAAGTCATCATCATCGCACAGGGTTGAGGAAGAGGGGAAACGTGAGTGGGCGATAAGGACCCAAGAGAACGGCAGCACGCCCGACAGGAAATCCAGCCAGGAGCAGCTCTGCTGCCTCTGAGCGAGCGCTTAGGAGTTTCGAGTGCGTCGGCGTTCATGGCGGCAAGCGTGATACACAGCAATGCACGATCGGGTGGGTCGTAAATTTCGGTATTCTGCCGGCTATCGGTCCACCAGAATGCGGGGATATCAGACAACGCAACACAGATCCAACAACAGCTGCTGCGTCTGTACCACACCATACCCAACGCAACACCCGACGAACCCCACGCCAACATCCTGTGCCACGTTCGGCGACCGTTTCCTCCCCTGCGCTTACCTGCACGCCTGAAGCATCGCAGATACGTCGTCCGCCGGCACCGACGAAAACTCGCACGCGCTTTTCCGGCTCGACACCCCGAATGGCCCCTCGTCGCCCCCCTCGCTCCTCTCATCTACAGAGGGAAGCCCGTCTGGCAAGACCATGGGCTTCGCGATCGCCACGGTGGCTTGGCGCCACATGTACCGCAGCGTGTTTATGCGGAACCTTTTTCCCTCCACAATCGCAGCTTCCATGCTCGGGGGCAGATCAAACCCGCCTGCATCATTGGCTGAACGCGCGGGGCCGCCTGCCTTCCCAGCCGCGGCCTCTAAAATCCCTTGCAGCATCACGTTCGAGCTCCGTTGGTCCTCGAGGGCGTGGTTCATGGTGCACACCAGGGCGGTGCGGCTGCGGCGGGGGCCCGGCCTTCCCCGCCCGGAAAGGCGGATGGTTTCCACGCGCCAATTCGGACCAGTGGACACCGGCAACCGCGCGTTGTCCAGGTTTCGCTCGAGCCGCCCCCGCCACTCCCGCGCGAAAGCTTCATCTCCGGATATCTCGTCTTCTTCGGGGGCCAAGACGCGCTCCGCCAGCGCCCCCAGCGATTCGCACTCGGATTCACAGAAGTAGAGGGGGTCCCCGTCATCTCGCTCCTCGCCCCGGATGTCGATCAGCGGTTCCTTAGGCCCGTCCGGCGTGCGGATGCAAGCACGGAGCATGGGGTGGCGGGCGAGGACCGCCTCGATCCCGCGCTTGAGCGAGCTCCTCGGCAAGTCGCCGTCGATCACGGCAGCCTGACACGCATTCAAGGGTGGTACATGTTCGGTTCTGGATGACATGGGTGTATTGCATTTCGTACCAGATGTTGCCCAGGTGTTGTGGATAAGTCAATCATAGCGTATGTAGGAAAATAAGGCTTGGCGGGTTCACCCCCCCTTCAAACCCGCAGTCCTCAGAGCAGTTTGCAACATGACTCGAGCCCCCTCTGCCTGACCCGTTTCTCCACCAGGGGGTTGTTACAACAGCGGCCTCTACCCTTACTCCAGTATGAAGTTGTGTTTTTCTGAACTGCAGCAGCCGCAAACCGCCAGCTGGTCAACGATGTATACACTTGCATATATTCGGCCAACACCCGCCTGCTTCAATCGAGCACCAACAGCGTGGATATATGCTGTTGGTGTAAACATACACACAAGGGTGTCGCGACGACCGGCTGACTGGCTCGCTTCCTGCATTCACTCCAGCGCCAACATACCACACTTTCCCTGCAAAAACCCAATGCTCACCCACACGTGCGGGGTAGTTAGAGTCCGAACGCCGTCCTCGGCAGGGCCAGCGCCGTCCCGAGTTTGTGTGAGCATCTTTTCGAAGCTGCCGAGCTTTCGGCTCACGAACGGCTTCGCCACCGCGCTGGCGGCGGCGCTCCTAGCTGCTAGAGCGTCTGCTGCTGCTGCGCTTGACCCCTCCTCCACCTCCGATATCATCTCGATGCTTTGTCGCTGCCTCACACCTCTTGTCGAACCACTGCCATGAAGACCAAGTCCTCCCCCCAGCGAGCCTGCTGGTACTGTTGTCGTAGTAGGTGAGAGAGGACTGCCGCGGGCAGGTTGTACTTGAACGAACGGGGCGGAGAGGTTCGTGCACAAGATCATGAAACGTCCAGCGCCTCGAGCAGCACCCAGCACCATGGTCGGCCATTGCCGGGAAGAGACACACCAGGATCGAGACCTCCGGGCCATCAAATATACAGCAGTCAGGCAACAAACAACCGCACGATGTGGACAAGGGTGCCGTGTGCTGGTACACCGCTGCGGTGCTGTGCGGCTAGAGCAAGCTGTTGCTCTGTGGGGAAAAGTATCCATTTTTTTTTAGAAGACTGTTCGGACAGGACGATCTCATGTAAAATACACAACAACAAACGGAGTTTTTGAGTTTCGAAGGATTCGGTATAACCGTGCATCCGTGGTTTGTGGAAGCGTTCCGGAAATTTCGTAAAAGAGCGGCGAGAGGCAAACAATGAGGTTACATGTGTGTATAGCTTTATACTACAGGGTACAAAGAGGAGAGAGAGAGGTTGGCAGAAGCTTTTGGGATCCCTGGGAAGCCGAGGACGTCGAAGGAAAAAGCGTTGCATCGCCCGCAAAGGCAGTGCAGCGAAGCAGCAGCGAGAGAAAAGAGTTGTCGTGTGGGACTTGATCGAATTTTAACCGAGACACGCTGGAGTGATCCACAACGGCAACAACCTTGCAGCAGCAGGGTCAGCAGGTTCCCCCGCTGCAGCCGCAGCCAGCGCGGCCTGCACCACCACCACCGCCACTACCGCCGCCTCCCGACGGACCACCGCCCGCAGCTAACCAGCAACAGAGCAGCGGCGGCGGAGGAGCAGCAGCAGCAGCCCCCCATGGCGTCGGACAGGCAGCAGGGGCGGCGGGAAACCAATAGGCGGCGGGAAACAACAACGTGCTCCCCGCAGCAGGAGGAGCCCAGAACGCGGGCAAACCGCGCCAGCCGGGGTGGGAGGCCCACCTCCTCCCCTCAACCCAGTCTAGATATTGCTGCACGATGTCTGTACTGCTTATAGAGCTAAGTGAACGACTCGGCAACCTGGAGCTCAGGATGCAGCAGCAGCAGCAGCAGCAGCAGCAGCAGCAGCAGCGGCAGCAGCAGCAGCACCCGCAGTACCAGCACCAGCACCAGCATCAGCATCAGCAGCAGTAACAGCAGCTAGGCCACCGCCCTCCTGGCGGCCTCCAGCAGCAAGGCCAGCCCCAGCCCATCAATCTCCCGTTAGTTGGCCAGCTCGCGCCACAGCCCAAGCAAGCGTAAGGTCTGGGCCAAAACATCAACGTTTCGAAGCAAGACCTGAACACCCAGGTCCAGAAAGAGAGGTTTCGCCGAGATACGGGCCCATCAAGAGGTGGGGCCAACGCGGCAGAGGAGAGCGGGTGGCGCCACGGTAGCAGCTTTTGTAGACAGGAGCAGGACCGTGGCGCTAACTGCAGCGCCTCTTTCCGTGTTGGTAGCACCGAACGTGTTTTACGGTGAGAGAAGAAGTACCCGCCCGAGTAAATCAAGCACCAATAGTGACGAACATGAAATCACTGCAGAACCAATGCCGATAGACCCGTCTATACCGAGGAGCAGAACGACCGTGTGCTCGAACTACCAGCCCGAGTAATTCAAACACCAGTTGCGATGGACATGAAATTACAACAGAACCACGGACCCCTCTAACCGAGGAGTAGAATAACCGTGTGCTAGACTGATCAAGTGAGAGAAAAAGACCCCGGCATCACGGGAGAAGATAGTAGACCCAGTTTGAACTCTGGAGAAGACCCCCGTGATCGGAGCGAAGCAGACCCCTCGCACCAGGGAGAAGATCGCAAGAGGGCTAGACCCAATACAGTCGAGGGACCCTTTTAGTGCCGGTACGTCCACAGAGCGTTCACCGGCACTAAATCGGGCACCCGGCACTATTGCGAATAGTGCCAAAACGGCACTATTGAGGGCTGGCCAATCCCTCATTAGTGCCGGTACCGGCACTAATGAGGTTGTGTTCGATTTATGGTGTAGCGCCCACGCTTACGGGGCCAACAAAGAACGAAATGGATCGACACTATTACTGTACTGTTGAGTGAAGTTCCAGCATGGGCGTGGGCAGAGTTGAGTTTTCTTTTTGTTGTCTTGGGGCGCTCTTTGGTTCTTCATTTTCTTCTGCACCTCACTTATTTGCTTATTTGTGTACTGTCGTCGGGACAAATTCTCTCCTGTTTG